AAGGAACTAACATGCATTGGTCACTATTATCTATCAATATCAATGGACTCAACTCACCAATAAAAAGACACAGACTAACAGAATGGTTGCGGAAACAGGATCCAACATTCTGTTGCATCCAAGAAACACACCTATGCAACAAAGATAAACACTACCTCAGAGTAAAGGGCTGGAAAAATGTTTTTCAAGCAAATGGTTCCAGAAAACAAGCTGGAGTAGCCATCCTAATATCTAATAAAATAGACATTCAACCAAAGTTAATCCAAAAAGATAAGGAGGGCCACTATATTCTCATCAAAGGAAAAATCCATCAGGAGGACATCACATTCTTGAATATCTATGCCCCAAATACAAGAGCATTGACATTCGTAAATGAAACATTATTAAAGCTTAAATCATACATTGATCCTAATACCTTATTAGTGGGAGACTTCAACACTCCACTCTCACCAAAGGACAGGTCAACTAGACAGACACCAAATAGGGAAATAAAAGCACTCACAGAATCCCTAAATCAAATGGACCTAATAGACATCTACAGATCTTTTCACCCAAACTCAAAAGAGTACACCTTCTTTTCAGCACCACATGGAACCTACTCCAAAATAGACCATATAGTGGGTCACAAAGCAAGACTCAACAGATACAAAAGGATTGAAATAATCCCTTGTATACTATCTGACCACCATGGACTAAAGCTGGACATCAACAACAACAGAAACAACAAAGAGCCGATACACACACATGGAAAGTGAACAACTTACTACTCAATGACTGCTGGGTTAAGGAAGAAATAAAGAAAGAAATTAAAGACTTCCTAGAATTCAATGAAAATGAAGGCACAACATACCCAAATTTATGGGACACATTGAAAGCAGTGCTCAGAGGAAAATTTATAGCACTAAGTGACTACAAGAAGAAATTCATAACATCACATACAAACAACTTAATGGCCCAACTGAAAAGCCTAGAAAAAAAAGAAGCAGATACTCCCAAAAGGAGCAGACGGCTGGAAATAATCAAACTCAGGGCTGAAATCAATCAATTAGAAACAAATAAAACTATTCAAAGAATCAATGAAACAAAAAGCTGGTTCTTTGAGAAAATCAACAAGATAGACAAACCCTTAGCCAAGCTGACTAAAAAGCAGAGAGAAACTATCCAAATCAGCAAAATCAGAAATGAAAATGGGGACATAACTAGAGACACTGAGGAAATCCAAACAATTATTAGGTCATACTACAAAAGCCTATATGCCACAAAATTTGAAAATCTAAATGAAATGGATAATTTTCTTGACAGATTCCATCTACCAAAATTAAGTCAAGATCAGGTAGAAAGACTGAATAACCCTATATCTCCCAAGGAAATTGAAGCAGTCATTAACAGTCTCCCCTCCAAAAAAAGCCCTGGGCCAGATGGCTTCAGTGCAGAATTCTACCAGACCTTCAAAGAAGTGCTAACACCAATTCTCTTCAAACTATTCCACAAAATAGAAACAGAAGGAACACTACCAAACTCATTTTATGAAGCCACAGTCACCTTGATACCTAAACCATACAAAGAGCCAACAAAAAAAGAGAACTTCAGACCTATCTCTCTTATGAACATTGATGCAAAAATACTCAATAAAATACTTGCAAACCGAATCCAAGAACACATCAAAGATATCATCCACCATGACCAAGTAGGCTTCATCCCTGGCATGCAAGGGTGGTTCAACATACGGAAATCCATCAATGTAATCCGCCACATAAACAAACTGAAGGAGAAAAAACACATGATCATCTCCTTAGATGCTGAAAAAGCATTTGACAAAGTCCAACACCCATTCATGTTTAAAGTCTTGGAGAGATCAGGGATACAAGGCACATACCTAAAGATAGTAAAGGAAATATACAGCAAGCCTATAGCCAACATCAAACTCAATGGAGAGAGAGTTAAATCAATCCCACTGAAATCAGGGACAAGACAAGGCTGCCCATTGTCTCCATATCTCTTCAAAATAGTACTTGAAGTCCTAGCCAGAACAATAAGACAACTAAAGGAGATCAAGGGGATACAAATCAGAAAGGAAGAGGTCAAAGTGTCATTATTATTATTATGTCTATCTTTGTGTCTTAGGTGTGTTTCTTGTATGCAACAGATTGCTGGGTTTTGTTTACGTATCCATTCTGTTAATCTGTGTCTTTTTACTGGAGAGTTGAGTCCATTGATGGTGAGAGAGATTAATGACCAGTGGCTGTTAGATCCTTTGATTTTGATGTTGGCTGTGTTCATAAGGTTGTGTGCTTGGTTGCTTTTTGTTTTGCTGTATTAAGGTTAATTATTTCCTGTGTTTTCTTGATAGAAGCTAATTTTCTTGGGTTGTATTTTCCCTTCCAGTATCTTCTGTAATGCTGGATTTGTGTGTAGGTATTGTTGAAATTTGTTTTTGTCATTGAATATCTTGTTTTCTCCGTCTATGAGGACTGAGAGTTTTGCAGGGTATAGTAGCCTGGGTTGACATCTGTGTTCTCTTAAGGTCTGCATGATATCTGTCCAGGCCCTTCTGGCTTGCATAGTTTCTGTTGAAAAGTCAGGTGTGATTCTAATGGGTTTGCCGTTATATGTTACTTGGCCTTTTTCCCTTGCAGCTTTTAGTATTTTTTCTTTGTTCTGTATACTTACTGTTATGATTATTATGTGGCGGGAGGATTTTCTTTTCTGGTCAAATTTGTTGGGTGTTCTGTAGGCCTCATGTATCCTTATTGGCTTCTCCTTTAACTTGGGGAAATTTTCTTCAATGATGTTGTTGAAAATATTTTCTGGGCCTTGGAGATGGGAGTCTTCTTTTTCCTCTATTCCTATTATTCTTAGGTTTTGTCTTTTCATATTGTCTTGGATTTCTTGGACGGTCTGTGTCAGGAATTTTTTGGATTTAACATTTTCTTTGACAGATACATCGATTTCTTCCATTGTATCTTCTACACCTGAGATTCTTTCTTCCATTTCTTGTATTCTGTTGGTTATGCTTACCTCTGTAGTTCCTGTTTTCTTCCCTAAATTCTTCCTCTCCATTATTTCCTCCATTTGTGTTTTCTTTAACTTTTCTAGTTCTATCTTCAGGTCTTGAGTTGTTTTGTTTACTTCCTTCACCTGTCTGCTTGTATTTTCCTCTTTTTCTTTTAGTTCCTTCAACTCTGTCTCTTTGATTTCTTTCAGTGATTTAATTATTTCTTCTCTGAAGGCCACAAGCTGTTTGGCTGCATCTTCCCGTATTTCTTCACAGATGGCACTAATCTGCTTGTCTTTATCTTCCTCCATTTCTTTATGGATAGCCATGATCTGTTTGGTTTTATCTTCCTCTAATTCTTTACATATTTTATTTGTTTCCTCTATTATCCTCTTCATCAACATAGATGTAAGGTCATCTTCTTGATTTTCTATTATGCTGCATTGTTCAGGGCTGTTCGCCCCTGGATGGCTGGGTTCTGGAGATGACATATTGCTCTGTCTTTTGTTGGTTGAGCCTTTATGCTGACCTCTACCCATTGGGCTGATTTAGGTGTTGACTGTTAGTTTCTGTGCTTCCTGGAGTCCTGAGGTAGGGAGTATCCCCTTGGCCAGAAGATGATTTTTCCTGAAGGAGTCCTTCTCTGCTTTTTGGTTATGGTCACTGTATGGCCAGTGTTTCTCAGGAGTTGCCACTGCTCACCTCAGGTTTATAGCCCTGAGTAGTAGCTGTGGTCTATGTTAGGCAGGGGGGGATCTCCTCTTACCCATAGAAGTTCTCAAGACAGGTGCCCCACTCCTGGGTTTCTTGTTATAAATTTAGTGTGCTACTGCTCACTAAATTTCCATGTACAGTCCTCTTGAAGAAACTGCTGATTCCCTAGCTGTGGGGTTTTCTCCCAACAGGGAAACTCAGTCTGTTATCCTGGGGCGCACAGTTCTGTCCGGGAAAGTGGGAGGTGCACTCAGCAAGTCTCTGGGCCAGAGGCTGATTGCTCTGCTCTGGACCTGGAGAATGTGCACCTAGGTTGAGTTGGCGCCTGGGGGCACTGTTCTGGTCTGGAGGCTGGGTGCCTCACTCTGGACCAAAAGTTGTGTGTCCCTTTCTGGGATGGCGGCTGCAGGCACTGCTCTGGTCCAGACGCTGTGGGTGCAGCCCCCCTGAAGGACCAGGGATTCCCACAGTTTTCACAGTCCAGCCAGGGACAACTGGCCAATCCCTGGCACAGTATCTGAGGGCTGCTGTAATGGCTCTTCGGCTCCTGCAGGTCCGAGGATGCAGCTGTGTGTCCAAGTGCCCCAGGGGAACTCAACAATGGTGGCAGAGCACAGCACTCCTGCCTGCACTAGAGTCTGTGTGAGTCCAGGTAGTGTTTTGGTGCTGGGTGTCCTAAGCGTTAGATCTGCTGACTCCCTCCGCTGGGGGTTTCCTCCTGCCAGAGACATGCAGTCTGGTGCCCTGGTGCCCTGGTGCCCACAGTTCTAACTGAGGCGGCGAATCAGGCGCGCAGGCAGGTGCCTGGGTCCCGGCTCTGGGTCCGGGCTGGCTCTTGGGGCACCCGCAGAACCCGAGTCTTTTCCAGGGGATGTCTGGGTAACCTGGGGTCGGTCCCAATTGTTTCCTGCTCCATGGGGTGGGGTTATCTCTCGACTGGGAAATCCAGTCTATGGTGCTGTGGGCCCACAGTTCAGTCTGGGACCGTGACCAGTTCACGCTGGCGTGTAGCCCCGGGCTGATGACCAAGCGCCTGGCGGAACAGGGATCTCTTCCGCGGTTTAGCCGGGTGAGTTAAAGTTGATTGAATCCCCCACCGTGGGGTATCCTCTCACCTGTGAAACACAACCACTTGTGTTTTATGGTCGCGAATTCTGATTGCTGGTCACTGTGCCAATCCTGCTGTGCTGCTCCTCAGAATGAGAGTCCTCCCGGCGCCGCCATCTTGCCCCGCCGCAATGATTTGCTGACGTATCTTTTTCCTGTGAGTGGCAGGAAAGTACGTCTTTACGAGTCGAGAGCGGCCAATCTTACTCTCGGTTCGTGGCGGCGTTTTCTGAACGATCCGGATCCATCCATGCAAACCTCCATCCGGCAGGGGTCCGTGCTTCAGCCTCACGTTGGGCGCCACTTGTACCCGCCTGCGGGACTAGTAATTCGTGGGGTCTCCAAAGAGGACCATGCCTGAAAGAAAAACAGGCGAGAGTGAAGAACGGACTCAAGCAAATGTGCACTTGTCAAGAGTCCCTCTTGTATGTTTATGGCCATCTCCTTCTTTAAGTTGGGAAAGTTTTCTTCTATAATTTTCTTGAAAATATTTTCCAGACCTTTGAGCCTGATGTCTTCTTTTTCTTCTACTCCTATTATTCTTAGGTTTTGTCTTTTCATGGTGTCCTTGATTTCTTGGATGTTTTGTGTTTGGAACTTTTCTGATTTTATTTTTTCTTTGAGAGACGAGTCAATTTCCGCAAGTGTATCTTCAGCTCCTGAGATTCTTTCTTCCATCTCTTGTATTCTGTTGGTGATGCTTACCTTTGTAGTGCCTGATCTTTTCTCTATGTTCTCCAGCTCCTGGTTTTTCTCAATTTGTGTTTTCTTTATTGATTCTAATTCTGTTTTCATGACTTGCACCATTTCCTTCACCTGTTTGAATGTGGACTCCTGCTTTTCAATGATAGCTTTTATTTTTTTGTCCGTATCCTCTCTATGTATCACTAATTGTGCCTCTACTTCTTTGGCTATAATTGCCTGTATTTCTATGAGAGCTTTGTTTATTTCTTCTTTATTTGCCTTCATTTGTGTGGACATTTCTTTGAGAGCTTTGTGCATTTCTTCTCTATTTGCCTCAATTTTCGTGGTCATTTCTCTGAGAGCACGATTTGTTTCCTCTTGGTTAGTCTCGATTTCTTTGGTTATTTCTCTGAGGGCTTTGTTCATTTCATCTCTATGGGCCTCTAATAGCTGGAGAAACATAGTTTTGAGGTCGTTTTCTTGTATATCTAGTGAATTGAAGTGTCCATTGTTTATGGGGTTGCTGGTGAGGTCATTATGTCCTGATTTTTGTTGGGTGTGTTCTTATGTCTGCCTCTAGCTATCTGGTTATTTATAATCCTCACTGATTGTTCCTCGAGATTGTAGTTTGGGCTATGATCGTCTCTTTCTGTTTTCTGGACTGTTTTTTCAGGAAGATGAGAGAAGTTCACTGCTTTGGGTGTGTGCACTGTGTTTTCAGTTTTGCCTAGGTAAAGAATGTGACGCTGGCGCTATTCGCGTGCACTTTTAGCGGGTGCAGTGTGCATGCTCGGATTCTCTGACTATTGCAGTGGCCTGCAAGCCACTATTACGCAGTTCTGACTGAGATCCAGGGATTGTTTGCCTGGATTGCCTTGGTGCACCCGCAAGGCAGAAGCTTCAATGTTGGGGTCGCTATCCCAGGAATCCCTCTGATGCCCACACTAGGAGTGTGGGTGCCAGGGATCTCGTCTGGTTGCTTCTGTGGAGAGGCCCTGTGTCTGGGGCAATCTCTCCCTAGAAGGCTCACTCACTCTCTTGCAGGACCAGTTGGAATGCACAGGGGTTCCTCTTGCTCACTACTCTCTGTTTTGGTCCTGCTGCGGAAGTGCACAGGTAGGCTATCAGTCAGCTCTGTGACACTGTGGCTGCAGAACTCGGTGTCCACCTTTCCTGTGTGCTGCCTCTTTGTCCTTTCCCTCTGCCAGGAGGGGTTATGTTGACTGGTCCCTGGGTGGCACGGGAAAGAGTTAGGGTGAGTGTACTCAATCCCAGATCCGGGGCCCAGATCTCTCTGCCAGAACCAGCCTAGCGGTAGAATCTATGTTTGCTGATCCCAAGAGAGTACCGGGTAGGGTTCAGTGTCCTCAGATCCAGAGCTTGGGTTTCTCTGCTAGGGGCCGCTGGAGAGAGGGTGCTGTGTCCTTGGCAGGCTGCCTCTCTGTCCTTCCCCTCTGACCTTCTCTGCTAGGGCGAGCTTATGGAGGTGCTCTCAGGGGAGTACCAGCAGGGGTTGGGGCTTCTCAGTCAGATCCTGAGCCCTGAGCCGGTGTTTCTCTGCCTGGGGCAGGGGGTGGGGGGGCGCCGGTGATAGAACTTGCTGCTAGACCTTATTGCGCTGGACCCAGGAGAATCTCAGGACATGTAGAATGACCACAGTCCCAGATCCTGAGCTGTAGTTTGTTTGCTAGGAGCGGCCGGCAGCACTGGAGTTCCGGCTCTGTGAAGCCGCTGTGTGCCTCTTTATCCTTCCACTCCACTGCGGCAGGGTTATGGCGGCGTTTGGGGGAGTGCCCGAAAGGATTGGGTTTTCTCAGCCCCGATCTCGGGTTGGGGTACAGACAATGTGGTCTGTGGCAGATTCTGCTGGATGCCTCCTGCCTCCTCCGAAGAGGGAGTAGGGATTTTGAGCTGGGCGCGCAGCTGCTATACGCCCGCGGCGGGAGCTCAGTTGTGATGGCGGCCCTGCTGTGGTCGGAGAGACCTTCCAGGGAAAGACTGGGTGACCCGTGAGCAGTCTGGCAACTTTCCTTCTCCGTGGGGTTTTTTTGCAACTGGGACTCCCAGCCTTAGGCCCCCTTGTGCCCACCAATCAGCCTGGGAAAGTGATTGGGACAAGCAGGCTTGCGGCACCAGCCCAGAGACCCAAAGCCCGCGTTGCCGGGTTCTCTTCCGGGTTCTGGCTGGGCAGCGGAGAGTGGACCCGACCGCTTCCCACGCCGTGGGAGCTTCCCCTCACCTGGGAAACACGATAGATCGCTGTTGCTTTAGGGCCCAGAGTTCAGTCTCCTGGTCGCTGCACGGAGTGTGTTGTCCCGCTTCTCAGACACGGTGTTCTCCCGGTGCCGCCATCTTTGGCCCCTCAAGTGTGAATATGTTATGCCTACATTTTCATATCTTGGGAGCATGTAATAATTTGGTATGATAACAAATTGATTTCCTCAGTCTTGAGTGATCTGCTTGATTCTGGCATCAATGTCTTGTTTCTTTCCAGCATATCAAACCATGATGTCACATTTATTCTAAGAATTACCTCACATTTTCCAACACTCTATAGTCACAGGCTTAATCTTCTACACTGATTCCCTTCTAGTTCCTACTATCTTAGGAGGAATGAAAGATGCACTGTAGTCTTCAAGATCAGACTTTTTTTTCAATTATATATAATGCTCTTAAGATGTGTACATGTTGCACAAGTTTACTTCCAGTCATATGTAGCTTTCTACATGTTAGTAATTCACTCAAGGTTAATGACAATAAAGTTTAAATCAAACTCATTCCACATTATTTGCATTTATAAGGTTTTTCAAGAAAACAAATATCTTGATATAAGGCTGTGTCAAATAACTTGTCATTGGAGTTTATGGTAGATTCTCCTTAACGTGAATTTCTCATGTTCCATGTGTTTAGATTTGAGTTTCCTTTGTTTTCATGGGAATCCTCTCCAGTTTGACCTTTGTGGTGTTCAAACACTGATAAAAACCAATACAATGTTTATGACAGTATTTGTAACAGTGAGGCTCCTTTACAGCATGAATGCTGTACTATAGACTTAAGGTTGGTGAAGCCTCAAAACCTTGTGGCACTGTCTCAACTATGGAGGCTCTGATGATAACTATGGTATAAATAAGAGGAGAAAAATTCCCATATTGTTTACTTAGTTTATTTCTGTTAGTGTGATTAACACCATGATGAAAAATACTCAGAGGAGAAAAGGGGTTACTTCAGTTCACTGGCTTGCATGTCAACATCCATTGAAGCCAATGCAGAAATTAGCCAAAATCTAGCAGCCAACAGGTGAGGTAGAAACCACGGAGGCATGCTTGCTTTCTGTCTTCAGTCTGGCTTAGGTTAGCCAGCATTCTTATACCCCAGGACCACCGGACCAAGCACGGAACATGCAAGGTGCACTGCCATCATCCAGTGGTCTAGACTCTCCTATATCAATTAGCATTAATGAAAATGACTCAGACTTGCCAAACAGAAGCACTCATCTACCAAACTGAGACTCTCGCATATTGCTTCTCTGTGTGAAGTTAAGAGCAGCACTGGCATACGTCTTCAGGACTTGCAGAACATCTCATCAGTGAAGGTTCTTTGCTGCTGCTGAAGAACAAAAATATTTTCAAAGGCTTCTCTCATCACTTAGGTGTTTAGACTTCTGTGTTGATGATGGTTAGTGATATGACTGAAGGCTTTTCCACCTTATTTGGGTGTACAGATTCTCACAATTATGAAGGCTCAGAGGATATGAAAGTAAAGGCCTTGCCATAACTATAGCATTTGTAGTGCACCTAACCAATATGAACCCCATGATGTTGATAGAGGCATGAAAAACAGCTAAATGCCTGGCCACACCCTACATTTACAGAGGCTCATATGTCAATTCCTCGATGTATAAGGAGTGAATGATAAATAAAATCTTCAATACTTTACATTAGTAAGTCTGTTGCACTGTATGAGTACTCTTTTGTTTAAGGGAAGGGGAGCTCTTAAAGGCATTGTCACACCTTTCAAAGTTATGGTGTTTCTCTGCAGGATAAAAACTGTGGAGATCAGAAGTGTTGACTGAGTGGAAAGTAAGTCACTATATTCTTCACATGTGTATGGCTGCCCTCTACTATAGATTCTTTTAGGCTGTCAGGTATATATGATTCCAAAGGCTTTACCACATTCCCATACTTAAAAGGCTTCTATTATGAGTGATTTTTTAAATTTTTTATTTTACTTTTATTAATTACACTTTATTCATTTTGTATCCCCCCATAAGCCCCTCCCTCCTCCCCTCCCGATCCCACCCTACCTCACCTTTCTGCATGCATGCCCCTCCCCAAGTCCACTGATAGGGGAGTTACTCCTTTCCTTCTTTCTGGTCTTAGTCTATCAGTTCTCAGGAAGTGAAGAAGTGTAAACATTTTATGAACATTCTGACATTTATACTTTTCACTCCAGTTTGAACTACCTTGTGTTTAAAAATATAAGAAAGCTCATTAAACAGTTTGCAACATTTTTTTCATTTCTGTCATTTCATTTGTGTCATTTCTGTCTATACACATTATGAGGTGTTTCCAAAGTTCTTAGTAAGTTCAAAAGACCTGGCACTTTCTTCCCGCTTGTGTAAGTTCTCCACAAATGAATTCATTGATATTGCTTAATATCAGAAGACTGCTACTATGTTTTGCCACAATCTTTACACTTGTAATCTTTCTCTCCAGTAAGAATGATCTGATGTTGAGAATGTGCTGTGGAACTTCTAAAGTCTTTGGCACACTCTTTACATTGGAGGGTTGCTCTCCAGAATGAATTCTTTGAAGATCCCTAAAGTTTTTCATATTATTGCCACATTCGTTATATTTGTAAGTGCTCTCTACATTGTGAGTTAGTTTGTGCTGACATAGGATTGACTCTATAGAGAAGGCTTTTTCCACATTTGTAACATATATACAGTTTCTCTCCAGAATGGGCTACCAAATGAGTAGAAAAAATTTTGAAAGTTAAAAAGGCTTCCTTCACAATTGTAGGGTTTTTCACCTATATGAATTCTCTTGTGTTCAGAAAGTAATGATGGACAATGAGAGGCCTTGACACATACTTCACACTTGTAGGATTTCTCTTCCATATGAATTTTCTTATGTTTAGAAAGTCGTGATTGATACTGGAAGGCCTTATCACATACTTTACACTTGTAGGGTTTCTCTCCTGTATGAAGTCTTTTGTGTGAAGAAAGTAATGATGGAATATGGAAGGTCTTACCACATACTTCACACTTGTAGGGTTTCTCTCCTGTATGAATTCTCTTGTGTTTATAGAATGATGATGAACAATTAAAGACCTTCGCACATACTATACATTTGTAGGGATTTTCTTCTCTATGAATTTTGTGTTTAGAAAGTAATGATAGATGGTGGAAGGTCTTGCCACATTTTTCACACTTGTAGGGTTTCTCTCCTGTATGAATTTTCTTGTGTGAAGAAAGTAATGATGGAACACGAAAGGACTTGACACATACTTCACACTTGTGGGGCTTTTCTCCTATAAGAATTTTCTTGTGTACAGAAAATAATGACAGAACATGGAAGGCCTTGTTACATATTTCATGCTTGCAGGGCTTTTCTCCTGTATGAATACTCTTGTGTTCATTAAGTAATGATGAAAAACTGAAGGGCTTGTCACATTCTTCACACTTGTAGGGCTTCGCTCTTAACTCAATGCCCTGGTGCTTACTATAATTTGATTTCCAATCAAAGGCTTTGCCACATTCTTTGCATGTATAGCATTTTCCCCCTAGTGAGTAAAGGTTGAGAAATGAATGAGAGCAAAATTCTTTATATTTACAATGCTTATCTTCAAAAACAAATATTTATCGCACTTACATTTTTCTATATAAATAATAATCTGCATTTAAAATTTTATACTCTATTCAATAAAGCCTAACTTAAAATACACAACAAGTGAGAATCATGCAACCTTTGAAGTGAAAAGAATATGACAACATAGAACACAGAAACAAAAGAGTATTTATCAAAGTCAAACATGTAAGGAAGGCACAGCATCAACAATCAAGACAATCCAAAATAGCATTATGCAACTGGAAATTTGCCCCTTAAACAAATATGGAAATATTATGACTAGACAAAACAAAGTATAAAAATAGTCTAACTTACAAAACAGCTGTATACCCAGTTTGTACATATCCTAAGTACAAAGTTTTGTTTTGGAAGTTATGAAAGTTAAGCCACACAATTAAAAATTTCCCATAATAATATTAAACAATAAATTTCAAGGATTCGAGAGAATGAGTGTTATGTACATCTGTGAAGAAAATAAATAGCTAAGTTAAACTTCATTTAGGCTTTCACCTAAAACCAATGTAACTTCATGGTAGGAGAAACCAATACTTATAAGACTTAAAGTATTCTAAATGTTAGATACATGTCCTCAAATGTCAGCAAAAGACAGAAAATTAGATCTTTAAACGATGATTTCCCTCCAAACATTGTGTCTCCATAGCTTCATGCTGTATCTTTGAATCTCCCACTCTGTGCTCTAACTCCCTCTTTCCAGCATATCTGGGGGCATGGTGGCAGCTGCTTGTCTTGTCACATCTGAAGACTCGTCTTTGCTCCAGAAATGTGATGATGAATGGCTTAGAGGAAGCAAGACCTGTTAGTGGGAAAACAGAACAACAATTTTAGGGAAAAACAATTTTTACTCAGGTATTAAAAACAAGGAAATCATGAAATTTGCAGGTAACTGTATGGAACTAGAAAAACTCATCCTGAGTGAAGTAACCCAGAAACAGAAAGACACACATGGTATACATTCACTTATAAGTGGATATTAGCCACATAATACAGTATAGTCATCTACAGACCTAAAGAAGCTAAACACTAAGAAGGACCCTAGGGAGGATGCTTAAATCTCATTCATAATGGTAAACAGGATAGACAACAGAACTGGTGGAAGACAGGAAACAGGATGGGAGCCTACTACAGTGGGTCCTCTGAAAGGCTCCACCAAACTGGAGATCAAAGCAGATACTGAGATTCAGGGCAAACTTTGGGCAGAGCACAGAGAATCTTAAGGAAGAAGGGGGGTAGGGTTACAGGGACACAGAGGGGACAAAAGCCCCACAAGGAGACCAACAAAACTAAAAGATATGAGATCAGGGAGTCCCGTAGAGATTGATGCACCAACAAAGGACCATGCATGGGGAAGATCTAGAACACCTGCTCAAATATGGCCAATTGGCAGTTCAATCTCTATGTGGATCTTTGAGTGACAGGAGCAGTGGCTGCCTCCATCGTGAACTCGGTTGCCTGCACTTAGAGCACTAGGCCCTGGTGAGGCAGCCTTGACAGGCCCTGGAAGAAAAGGATCCAGGCAGTCCTGATGAGACTTGATAAGCTATGTGCAGATGGCAGAGGAGGAGAACTTCCCCTTTTCAGTGGACTAGGGGAAGAGTAAAGGGGGAAGAGGGAGGAAGGGAGAGTGGAACAAAGAGGAGTTGAGGGAGAGGGCTTCAATCAGGATATATAATGAATAAATTGTGGGGAAAAAAGTAATAAAAAAAGAAAATGTTATGGCATACTGAAATCTGCAATCAAAGAACATATTTATTACAAAAGAGCCAATTAATTTCTCACTGGAACCTTTGAAAGGCAGAAGATCCTGGAGAAATGCATTCCAAGTCCGAAAAGACAAGGACATCCAACTTTAGCTATTACACACAGCACAACTCTCTGCAGTAGTTGAAGGAGAAAAAACAACCATCCACAATAGAAAGAGCATTAAAAATTTATATCCTAGAACTCAACTCAACAGTATTTCTACAGAAAATACTGGAAGCAATATTTTAGGCTGAAGAAAGGGATGAGCATTGCAAAGACACTATGGAAAGGAATAAGTAGTCAAAATTACTAAAACAATGAGAACACAACACCAAAAATCAGCAACACAGTGACAATTAACACTATTCAAAAGACACAGGCTGAGAGAACGAATCAAGAAACAAAACCATCTTTCTAGTGTCTATAAGAAATATATCTAAGAGACTTCTTTATGGAATATGACAGGTTTTCAAAATATTCCCTTAAGATAGTCTAAATTTTTTGATATCTGTTGTTAGTTTTTCTCATTCATTCTTAACCCTCCTTTTCCCACTCAGTCTATAGAACCTATCTTTATAGAATTGACAGAGTATGTTCTTGGACAGGTATGCTCTATATGTAGGTAGCTTTGTTCCTCAAGGAGATGCATGTATGCTTTGTTGTGCACACAGAATTGATTGCCACTAGAAGACTTTTCACCTAACTGTGCTGATGCAAGGACCTGCATAAAACAAACAAGTAGGGATCAGACTCCTGACATTTGAACCTACACCTGCCCAACTTGTGTTGGGCAAACTGTCTTCCTGCCTCCTCTGCCTTGTTAACTGCGCCCATGCCAGCCAGAAAAGGCCCTGCAGGGATGCTGTGGAGGAACAACAGAGATAGAATGGAGGGTACATGTGACCGCATGGGGAAACTGGGGAGAAGAGTGAGGCAATACTCATGGAGGTGGAAGAACATAAATATGGCTTTGAAGAGTGTCCTTGTACTCACTGAGAGAAATATTTTAACACAAAAGGACAAAATGATGCCAACCTGTGCTTCTCAAGTTTATTTCTTTCTCCTTTTGAAGGTCATCAAAATCAGTCCCGGGACTGTCTCTGACATGAACTGTGTTACCTGCTTCTTGATCACTTCCCCATGGCAAAGCTGCCTCCCCAGATCACAGGGTAAGAGGACATGCTCAGTCCTGATGTGACCTGATGAGCCTGGGTGGGTTGGTGGCAAGGGTGGGAGGGGCTCCCCTTTTGTGAGGAATAAGAGAGGGGCGATGGGTGAAAAGGGAGATAGGGTGGGACCAGGAGGAGAGGAGGGAGAGGGCTAGATTGTGATGTAAAGTGAACAAATAAATAAATAAAATTTTTAAAAGACAGTCAAAATAACACTTGTGTCTTCTCTGCATGGCCCCTGACATGTGCGCAGCCATGACCAGGTACTAAATGACATCACCCAACACAAGTTCCCTCACAGTGTCAAACATAACAAGGTTACTACTATCTGAGTCTGTTAAAACCACTAAGTCCTTAATTCCTATATTTTCTCACACTAACGTTAGGATGAAATAAAATGAGCCTGCAAGGAAAAGGTGAGGATTGCACACCACAGGAGACTGGACACCTTCCTCAGGCAGAGGAAGAAATACCACTGTAACAACTTAATGGCTGGATGGTGGTGATAGCACATGTGAAGGACAGTGGTAGATATGGTTCTCATTTTCCATTGGTAGAGTCTGAATTCTGTTCTGGAAAAACTCCAAAAAAATCTAAATAAAGCACCATGAGGTCATGACAGAAAGTAACAGAGAAGAGTATGCAAAGATAAAACTAACATTCCCTTCAAATACAGAGAGTCAAGCAAGGCAAAAAGAATCTTTCTCCATACTGTAAATGCAGACATCAATACATGATGTCATTAACAAAAGGATACTAGTGAAAAATTGGAAATTAGATTTCAAACACAGTCAATAGAACTTCTCTAAGCACATGTTAAGTTTTAATAATTAGTAAGATGTCAATTGGATGGATTTCTGTCAGGTCGCTGGTTGCTTTAGAAGTGAGAGGAATCTGAGTGAGTTGTCCCACAAGCAAAAAGACACACACGGTATATACTCACTCATATAAACATACAACATAGAATAAACCCACTAAAATCTAAACATACTAAGCAAAAGAGAGGACCCTAACTAAAATGTTCAATCCCCATTCTGAAAGGCAAAGAGGATGGACATCAGAAGAAAAAGAAAACAGGAAACAACCTAGGAACCTGCTACAGAGGGCCTCTGAAAGCCAGAAGAAGAAAACAGGAAATAACCTCGGAACTTGCCAGAGAGGGTCTCTGAAAGCCTCTGCCATGCAGACTATCAAAGCAGATGCTGAGCCTGATGGCCAACTGTCGGGCAGAGTGAATGGAATTTTATGTAAGAAGTGGGAAATAGTAAGAGCTGGAGAGGACAGGAACTCCACAAGGAGAGCAACAGAACAAGAAAATTTGAACACAGGGAACTTCCCAGAGACTCATACTCCAACCAAGGACTATTCATGGAGATAACCTAGAACCCTGACAATGCAGCCACTTCTGATGAGAACTGATAGACTAAGATCAGAAAGAAGGAGAGGAGGACCTCCTCAATCAGTGGACATGGGGAGGGGCATGCATGCAGAAAGGAAGGTGGAGGGTGGGACTGGGAGGGGAGGAGGGATAGGCTTATGGGGGGATACAAAATGAATAAAGTGTAATTAATAAAAGTTAAATTAAAAAATAAAAAAAGAAGTGAGAGGAATCAGAAGAAGTAATAAACTATTTTTTTAGAATCTTTTTAAAACACAGAGTCTCATGGAGCATAGGCTCACTTGGAATGCCTATGATTCAGAGGATGACTTTGAACTCCAGGATTCCTGACAACTCTTCAAAATGTAAAGATAAGAGAGATTAATCATAGAATAGGCTTAAGTTCACTTTTCAATCTTAGGGCTATTTAATTCAAAATATATATATACATATTTGGTGCCTGTAAGCTATATATGAGCATGCTGCTGTATTACCCCTACACTGTAAGGAAGCTGTTCTGCTCTGTAAGGCGGTGAGCTTTTCCCACTTCATATACTGTTATTATTTTTCCTACACATTAGCAATGTTAACTAGGGACTATCTATTATTTTATATATGGTTGGAAATTCACTGAGAATTCCAGTAGACAGGACAAGGTGGTCTGAAGCCCATGCTTCCTAAGTATAGACTTCAATGTCATAAGCCAGTCTCCAGCTCAAAACACCTGGTTTGACTGAAGAGTGACAGTATGTGCAAGGTCACTGGAGACACAAAGTGGATGTGGAGGGAAAATCCTGAAAACCCTGTGTCTGGCTGTGAATGAAGAACTCTTTCGAGGAGGCTGTGTCTGCAGAGACCGATGGCCCATGTGGATGTTTAGGGCTGTGCAGAGACTGGAATGTTGCAGGTTCAGGGGGTAGTGTCTTACCTTGGATTGGTTTTACCCTTCAGGAACAGTCAATCCCTGTCTCCCTCTGGAATGGACCAAACAGCTTGTGACAATAGAAAAAAAAAAACTTTCTAGAATCCACTGACTTGGCAGAACATGAGTATCTATCTGTCCAAAAGCTAAGAATGTCATCAGATCATATCTTAGGAGTATAGCTCCATGACATAGGAGCTTCCCCTCTGGGGCTCTCACAAGTATATTTCAAACTTCCCTTGATTTACAACATCCTTTCTTCTATAAAATCATGAAACTGCTTTCCTGTTAGAGCATGGAATTTGGAGTAACTTCATGGCCACTCAAATGGTTCCAGACTAAACTACCTCTTAACCCCTAACACCTGTGGGTTTTTCATCATCAAAAACCTACTATGTGAAAATCACAAGACCCTTAGTGTGACTCAGATTTCCAAATTCATCTTATATTCTTTGTAACACAGTACAAAAACTTGGGCAAACTATTATAGAACTATTCAGGAAGAAAGCATCAATGATCCTGGATGCCATATTCAATGACGGAGTACACTTAAGGGTGTTCAGACACTGCTTATAATGGGGACAGAGAGATGAAAACCATATGATGAGAACAATGTACAGAGACAGTCAGATTATCAGGGCCACTTCTCCCCTCCCTTTCAGACATTCCAGCCCCTCCCAGAGATCACAAGCTCCTTTTCTGTCATCACATCTAGCCATCCCTCACATATGAAAAGAAGTCCAAACTTCAGACACTACACGGTCTCAGAATTGATGAGGTATTACTATCTAGTGATTTTTACTCAAGTGTAAAGTCTGTGATTATGTGGATTGTGCAGGAATAGGTTGATACCAATTCCAAGATTTTTCTGCGCCTATAAACAGTGTCTTGTGGTGACTCGGGTCACAGGGTGTACATTAGGGTGTCCAAAGCCGGGCATCCATTGATCTAATAATTCATCCCAAAGGAAAAGGCTCTAACATTCCAATCAACAATCGCTCTCACAGGACTCTCTGTCCTCGGAAACTAGGAACTTTGGGAAGCTTTGTGAACTCAAACCAGGAGTCCTAGGCCAGACATGAAGTTCAGGAGAAGCTAGATGTCCACGTGTTCTAGGAGTCCTGAGAAATCTAACTACAGCCATGTGAGCCTGGGTCAGCTAGGTACCGCATGTTTTCCCAGCAAAGATGAGTCAGCTCCTTAGGCACAGGCAGTCAGCAGATCCAGCCAGCCCTTGAAATCCCATTGTTTCCAAACTTCTTCCCTCTCTCTGGTCAAATTTGCACCCAGGAGCAGTGGCCCAGCCTAGGTCAGCACAGTATCTCCATGTCACCTTCCCGGTCTTCCCAACCAATCAGCCCAAATCAGCTCCCTCTGCGCCCGACCTGCCACCGTGCACAGTCACTCAGATCTGCAGGACGCCGCTGCTCCCTCCACCATCTCCAGGTCAGAGATCCAAGCCCAGGGAGGAGCAGGACTCCAGCCTAACTTTGGAGAGAAGCCTAGTTTGAATAAGAAATGAGGAAGTCTGATACCCACAGCCCTCTCTTGTGACGTCATAAAGTCAAGACTACATTTCCCACAACCCAGAGCGAAGGACTTCCAGAAACTCAAAGAAGAGGATTTGTACAGTTCCTGTGTCCTGCTCAGCTGTGAGTGAGTAAATTTGGAAGGAAACAGGAAACCCGAATCCACGGGGATTCAGGTTGTTTTAAAGTCCTGTCGATATTAGTCTGTGAGTCGAGCCCGTCACAGTAATGTTTACATTTCCTAATTATTTCTGCTAAGACGTTGTGATTTTAAAACCCGATCTATTTACAGAATGTTTCTGCCACATGGGAAATTTAGATTAATGTGCTTTACTTAAAAATATGAAAGCAGAGGATGGAGAGTACTGAGATCAGACTGTAAAGTTATTAAAGAAATAAAACATAAAGAACATGAGTCACGTCCGTTTTCCACAAACTGTTAAGGCTAGGACCTCTATGATTGGCTCTAGCTGGTTGTAAGGGACCTAAAGGGAACAAGGGCCCACAAGTAGTACAGGCACATATTAAATACTTACAGAAATTTATGGATAGTTGCAGAGAAAGCTCATGGGGTAATAGAGCCAAATTGTGAAATCTAGAGTGGAGCAATCACGCAAATTCTAATGGAGAAAACAGAAAGATCATAGTAGATGATCAGTCTCCCTGTTTGCCTCTGGAATGGTCCCAGGAAGTCCCAAATGAGAGTGTACATGCTGAATAAAGAGAGGAACCTGTTTTTGTTCAGTAATTGCTTGAAGTTGAATTATGGCCAAATACAGAGGACCTTCAGCCGGTTTAACAACTGCTAAAGGTATGGCCTTAACATCATTAGAGCATATTGGCGGTCACTGAGAGTATTAATGG